ATGTTCCAAAGGTTACACTGCATTAAGACCACACTCCCAATCTATTATTTTAAATTGGGCTAAAGAATAGTAATTGAGTGGCACATTAAATTTTCCAGTATTGGAGCAGTTCAAGTTACCTGCTGTACAGACAGATACCTCTAAATAAGAATATATAGGCAACTTCAGATTTCAGTTATGCTAGAATTATTTTTCTAAAATATTTCATTACGGACTTGTTAAAATATCAGAATTCTAAGAGATCACCAATTGCAACAGTTTGGGCAGCAGCCTACTAGAAATATCCCTTTTCCTATTATTGTCTTTTCTTACAGCAAAAATAGCTCTCAGAGCAGACCAATTTCAGTAACACCGTTAATTATGAAAGGCAAACATCAGTATTGTACTATTCATAGTGAAACCCAGGACTACAGTTCAAAACCAGAATGAAATACACAAATATTTTTAAACAGTGTGCATTTAAGCACAGTGTTTTATTCTTTAGAAGTTTTTTCCAAGATTGTAAAACAAAAATGTTAGAGTAATGAACTAGTTTTAGAAAGTAAAATAAATAGACTAAAGAAAACCTAATTTGAAAAATAGTCCCAATGGAAGACAGATGAAAATTCTTAAGACTCTGCCTTTTAACCAGGTGGTTAGCTTACTATGTAAATACCATATATATTAAACACAATTTTGTGCAACAAGAATCAATATCAATTACAGACTTTTTGAATCAAATCCTGAGTGGAAGCCATTTTAATGAAAAGTGTATGTCAAACTGATGAACCCAATGTTTCTGTGTCACTGGATTCATTCAGGGTCAAAATCACACAATATTTTCAGACTTCTTTTTCCCCATTTAAGTCTTCCCATCCTCAACTCTGTAATATCAAGTACATGATCCTGCAGCCATTGTTTCCAGGGCATTCAAAACAGCAAACAAGAAATGAAGCCACTTCTAGACCTTCACTGCCTTTTTCAGTATAGCTTAAGTAGGGACCCTAAATTGACAAAAACACAGGAAATAATACTTTCATTATACAGCCCTGTTCTGCATTATCCTTAGAGGCAACCAGGATTGTAAATTACTTTGATGTTTTGTTCCATATGCCCCGAGCAAGTGGTTAAGTGCACTTTTTAAGCCGTAGTACCAGAAGGCAGTTTCTACTGCCATTTTAATCCATTTCCTGTCTGGAGGAAAATAAATAAATGGTTAAAAATAAAAAATAACAACCAGCCAGACCCTATCCCCTTAAAGCAAGATTCTGCTTACTTACAGCAGTTAGAGAAAGAAATTATAAAGATTTTACAGTTCACTCAGAACACAGCAATTCAAAAACTATTGTAGTTCAACTCTAACCTTATTACGCAACATACTAGGCTAAAGCACAACTTAGAACTGCCCGCTCTGGTTATCCACATTTATCACAAAATGAAGAGAGATTCAAACTGCAAATGAGTTTTAATTCTCTACATCCAGAAGTAAATTTGCATAGCTAGCAATTTCTTAAATTTCCCTTGGAATCAGAAATGGAGAAAGGGGTGATGATATGTGAAATGTCAGACTGGCAGCAAGAAGAAAAGGTACACAGGAGAGAACAGGTGTAAAAGACAAGTGCTGGGTTTTTTGTTTTCAAATGGCAGATCTTCAAGGACTCCTCCACTATTTGAACTTTCACACATAAAATTCCTTTAAAAAAGGATCTCCACTGATGACTGCCAGGTTTTGTTGAAAGTGCAGTTTATTCAAGCTGACCATTTCTTTCAAGTTCCGTGTACACTGTCCCTGGACACTAGTTCAAAGGCCATGTATTCCTCAAAATTCTAAAGCATTACATAGGTATTAGAAAAAGTTAAAAAAAAAAGATCATATTATGAGAATTGTTCATTACGGCATTACTTACATAAAGGTTTAAAAATACATTATTAAAGTGTATTCTAGTGAAAAGAATGTGGATAGAATCTGAAGCTTGCAGAACCAAAATATATATGAACATATGAGGTCATACCATGTGACACCTTTCCAGCACTGAGGAAAAAGAGAACTGAAAGAAAGCAAGCTGCCTCTGCTGTGAAGCCTGATAAAACACACCTAGGAATACTGCAGAGGAAGTTAAGTTTGCTGTTGTTGGATAAATGGACAGAGTAGTCTCTAAAACTCACGGTCACCTTCTCTAGTATTAAGAACGCCAGTAATGAGAAAACCAATAATTAGTAGTTCTTAATTGCTTCCATAAGTCACATGCTTTTCCCCACACACGCATCTATCTTTTTTTCTTTCTAAATTTGCAACTTCTTAACCTGCCTTTATCCCATCAAGAAGTGTTCCTCCTCATGTCTAGATTAGAATACTCTTTAGACTTCTCTGATATTTTCATTTGTATTCTAGAATGAACTAGGAATAATTCTGTGTCAGAATTCACCAGCTATCAAAAAGAAAAAACTTGCCTTAGTAGTACTGTAAGAGAAAGTCTAGATAAAAATCATACCATAACTGTAAGATACCCATCACTAAGAAAACGATCAAACGATCACTAATGGCTACAATGTACCACCATAAATTAATTTTCTAAAAAGAAAAAGGCAGAAACTAATCTGGAGACTACTATAGCTTGTTTTGTATGAGGAAATACACATATGCAGAACACCACTGAGACATTTACTCAGAGGTTATACTTGCTATGTTGATTTATATACATTCATTAATAAAATGAACTAACATAAATAAAAAGAGGAAGACTTGGGATGTAAACAAAGTGTTCTGTGTTAATCCAGTTTAATCAATGAAGTCCAAACAACCTACTTTAAAACTTAATCCAGATTAAATCTGCAAGTATTTGCACTTGTCAATTCTGAACCACAGGTATTTTGGATTTTCTATGAGTAGAATATATGACACACATTTGCCAAGATAACATTCTAAAAGCTTTTGTAAAAGCCCCTCAGTAACATCTTTGACAATGACATCCTTTAGAGGGTAGAAATGTACTCTTGTGAACAGGAAAAAAAAAAAAAAAGAAAAGAAGAAAAAATATTAAGTAACAGAAAAGACAAAAACACAGTACAATGGCAGGCAATCATCAGATGTCCCACAGGGACCTATAGGGGAAAACGTGCTACAGATTTGCAAATAACCTAGAAGAGGCTATCTAGTAAGGAGACAATCTGCTGAAACAAAACTATTCAGTGTAATACATTCACTACATTGAAGCTAATGTAAACTAAACCAGAGCCTGAACAGCTGAATATGACTTATTAGCAATAGTTAAAATTTGTGCAGAAGTGATGCAGCTGGTCTTGAAACGTTAATAACAGGACTTAAAAAAAAATATATATATATTCTATGCATATATATGGGCCCCAAGCTATTTCTAGGGAAACATATTTTGAAATCATCAATATGTTCAGAAAATTGTGGAACTGTTAAGTCAGTGTTCTGTAGAAGTGAAAAGGCAGACAATCCTAGGAGAGTGAGTTAAAAAGTACAAACCAAGTAATATCATGTCATTGCATAAAATTTCTCCTCCATACTCTGACTACTGTGCACAGTCCCAGTTACCCCACTTGAAAAATCATACAAGTATCAGGAACGACAAAGAGGGAAAGGCTTATGAGATAGATGAGGAGAGATCAGAATTTTTAGACTAGTAAGCGTGATGATGTGGATAGCAAACTCAAGCTTTCAGCCAGCAGCTTCTCAGGTACACTGAAGGTTCATCACAATGAACTTGATTGAGCTGTACTATGCACATGTCTAGGTGCTCAACAAATATCAAACACAAAATAGACCTCAGAGGTCCCTGCCTGGGATAAAAGTTTAAGGTACAGATTATAACATACAAAAGCAAAGGAAGGAAGAAAAAAAAGCAGTCTTACCAGATAGGTAAAAACCAATCAATTAAAGGGCAAACTGCAATGCATCTAGTCCTAAGCCTTACTGTAAATGAGAGTTAGTGGTCTGCAAGAGATGAGTCATTTTTAACTGAACTTCCTAGTATTTCTTATAGTTGGTCAAACATATTTAGGTTAATACTCATCCTATCACTTTCTAAATGGCTTCTATTAAATGTAGAAGAAAAGAATAATGACAAAATAAAGACAAGAATGAGTACAGTTCAGATTGAATGACCTGAAAGAAATATTGCTACTGAGGATTTTTAGGTACCTCATTATTGACAATCACAATCTCAGGCTAAAAGAAGTCAAATTTATAACATGAATGAAATAAATTTATGCACTAACCCAAAAATGTATTTGCTCTAGTATACACAAACTTTATTTTAGTAGCTAAGTGTTCACCACTGACCTAAACTAAACCATGACAAAACAACCAAAAAGTTTCTTTTTAATCTTACTTAATTGTATTTAATTCTGTTCATGATTTTATTTCTGTTTTACATAGCATTAATTTCAACTCTAAGAAGCACCAAAGAATTTCTTTGCCCACAGAGACCCACCCTCCAGTTGCTTCCAAGTTCACTCAAGACCACATTTTGTCTGCTTCTCTTCAATTCAAACAAAAGAGTCCACTAAAGACAACAGTATGCTCTTGCATAGAAGAATAGGGTTTCAATCCTAATTTCAAATGAGTCCAGAAACACTTTCTCCAACAGAAAAGGTCAGGAAAAAAAATATCAGTGTAAAATAAGTGTACAACAGTGTGCGTACAGGTATGGATATTGTATGTCAACATAATAAGGGTCAGAGATCCTTGCTTTGTGTCTTTGTGTCTTACAGTAGACAAAACCAAAGGCAACCATTACTAATTCACAACCACTCTTACCATAATAATATCAATGTGGAAAATACACATGCAGATTTCACAAATTCCAGTACTGGTTTATTAAATGTTGAAATTTCAAACCCAGAACATCAGTAACTATATGATCCAAATATCACCTTTCTAAAAGTGTAAAAATAGGCTTATTCTTCTCAAAAGTGTCTGAGGGGCTGGGGAGTTGGATTACATGATCTTTCATGGTCCCTCCCAACCCAAACCATTCTGTGATTCTCTGAAGGAATATATCAATTTTGAAATATAACAGGTGCAAGTTATTTCCAGATAATGATATGGCATTTGAATTATAAATACAAACTTCTTCCAAATTTATTCTTTAATTCAAAGTCCTAAACATACCAAAGAAGTTAAATATCTAGAAGTTATTTTAAAATCACAGAGAAAAATGTGAAATAAGATGGTCAAGAATCATCCTGAAGAGCCTACAGCATCATTATCACTACGTCTTCCTTGAATAAGCATGATTCAGATGCAGAGTTTATTTCTATGATTCACATATTCCACAGACTGCTTTCCTACTGCTATTTTCTGGTATTCTATACAACCTCATTGTTGGAGAACATGAGTATGTCAATATAGTTCAAGTGCTGCATGTCTTTTTTTTTTTACCCCTCATTCAACTTAAAAAACAGTTTTCTTTTAAAAAAAAATTCCCTGTATGTAAAACTTGAAATACTTAGAAGCATTAGTTGTATATAATAGCTACAAAATGCTTTTAAATGTGAAACAGAAACCCAGAAAAGAACTGGGTTTTTTTTCCACAATATGCGGAAATAAGATGACAAACTAATTTGGAGAAGTGCCAAAAAAATCTGCCACCTTTGGGACATGATCCCACAGGTAGTTAAGAAGCCCTACACTGTAATTTAGGATAGACCACTAAATGTTTTATGAATAACTGGGACTGTGAGAAGTATCATGGAAGTAAATATTGACATACCTAACTGTCAATTTAATCTAAGGACTGATAATAGGAAATATCACAAATTTTATTGTTAAATATCACAGAATCTTAAATACTCCAAAAAGATAAAAATGTGACTTCAAGAGACACTGCAACACATTCACAGCAGGGTGTCTGATACCACAGAAAGGTCAGCTGATTTGAGGGTAAAAGATTTGTTGGAAAAAGGTTTAGAATAAAATTTTTTTAAGTTCATCCCAGATGAATAAGACAACAGGCTGAAAAATCCTCAAGTTAAGTGCTGCTTTGCCCTTATTTTAATTTCAGCTAAGTCAATCCACATTCAAAACCTGCTGTTCATCTTGGTGTAATGTTACTAGCAATACTCAACATTTCCGTGGATCTCCTTTGAAGCATCTTCTAAGGTATAAGGCACAAATTGATGCCATCTGATAGCTTCTACTTCCTCTTCCTTAAGATCATGAAAAATGGCATGTTATGTCAAAAATTAAAAACTATGTTGTATTTCTCTTGCATATCTATTTCTATTTAGGGCCCAAATTTAAAGGAGACAGTGTGATTTTCATCAGTCAACAAGGAAAATAAGACACTGTGCATAAATACTCACCGTAATGTTATCCAAGAGTTTGGCCATATGCTTAATAATTTCACCATGATGTGCTGGCTGAGTTTGCAGCAGTTTCTTAATGACAACAACACTTTCAGCAACTACGATTTCTGTTTAAGACAAAACAAATTAATTTTAAAAGCATTTATGCAAAAGAAAATGCCATAAATAATTGACTGTAAAAGATGTTATCAGGTTTCAAAATATGCTTTGCAAAACTGAATTTTGTTTACTTGATAACAAAGATGTAAACTGCTCTACTAAGTAATACAAGTTCAACTTCCAGAATCAAGTTCTACACAGCAAAAAGAGGACAGAGAAATGTTCTCAATATAAAAACATCATCATATTGCATACTGGTTTTGAAATTCCCTTTTTGTAAAGTTGCATTTTATATTTTTCCTTTTCAAATTAAAGAGTTGCATGAAAAAACATGAGTTTTTCATTGAAATGATGCATGTTCATAAGTAATTTGCTGTCTACATTAAAAATACAAACACTTGTTTAATTTTCAAATAAATACTCAACATAAACAGTAGCAGCTCATTCATAAACAAGAGAAGTATCTAAATATTTCCTTTACACTTTTTCACCTTCTAAACAGTCTCTCCCAGGTCTATAGCCTAATCTATAGTACATTCAAATGAAGCTTCTAAATAGCAAGGTGTTGTAAGATTTATGTCAAAGTCATGCACTAGAGCGCTTAACTACTGTAACAAGTAACATTCACAGCCTGATCAACTTGTATGAAATGTACAATTTCTGAAGCTGAAAAAAAAACCACTGGTGCAGAGGTAAGCTTCTATGCAAGAGTAAACTCATGCTGTAAGGAAAGATGAAAGGAAGTCAAACACAGTCAAAGCTGAAACCAATACAAGGACTACGATAAGAGTTCAACATAATTCTAATTATAATTTCTACTACAAAAACTTAAGTTAGTAACTTAGGCACTACTTTAATGCAGTCTATGTGAGCAAATTTAAAGAACTGAACCAGCATTGTAGGTGAGTAAACTTGTACGATTCCTTTTACCCAAGTCCAGACACCACACCTGAAACTATAAACACAAGCAAAATGAATTTGTACTAGAATAAGGACTGACACAGTTCAGAAAAAGCCAGAGGTCCTTTGTGCACATGAAGAATAAAAAAGAAATTAGCATTAAATAGACACACATTTAGGTTCAAAGACAAAAAAAAAAACAAACCACCAAACAAAAGAGGGAGAAAAAATTGGCATTTCATTAAAGAAAAAGTGCATATAAGGCAACGATAAATAAACACAAGAACTTCAAAACAGACTGCAAATTATGTCTAAAAGGTCACAAAGAGTTATATTCTTAAAATAAAGACTAAATATCACAAATGACTAAATGATCAAGAATGCCTTTACCAATAAAGAAGACTGCAAGAGGTATCAGCAACTTTAATTTTTATGAGTCATAGTAAAAATCTTAGTATAATGCTCACTGCTTGTTTTCTTCAATTTTGATGCAATATGGAGATGACTATTCTGAGCAAGATAATATCTGAAGACCCTAGAGCATGACAACTTAGAAAAACCTTAGAATATATTCGGTTACACAATGTTGTGTTTTGAGAAATAATGATCTAAAAAATTGACAATGTAGTGGACAGTAAATGAACTACAGACTTTTTCACATTTGAGATCTGGCCACATGATAGCAGAATCTCAGAAAAAAACCTTAGCAAGGAATGTACTACCAAAGAACATTCAAAAAAAACTCCATTCTGGTATAGTACATTTGATACCATCAATGTTGCATCAAATTTTCTTCCACTTACATTAACTGATACTTGCAGAAACTAACACATGTGACCGAAGACTAATTTACCTACCGTTTATAATTTGTATAGTCACTCATTCTGAAAGCAGCAAAACTGCATCAGCTGGTTTTGGAAGGAATATACCAACTGAATCTCATAGCAAGGCTGTACAAGTGATTAAATGCACCCTCAGCAAATTTGCAAATGATTGTATGCTGAGTGGCACAGCTGACTAAGTTAAAAGTGGCAGCAATCAGTTGAAATTATCACAGCAACTGCTTAAAGGCAATGCATCAGTCAAAAGCCAAATGTCACACTGAAGAGCCAGAGTAACTTTTCTTTTTGTACCTTCTTCAGCAGACAAGGAAGGAAAATAATTCTCAGCCCTAAACATGCCTACCAGAAACAAGGCTCTGGGGAAGTTGAGAACTGCTCTTTAAATTTTCTTTGTGTATATATGAGTACTTTGCCTAAAATAAAATTTCCTCTCTCAGAAAATCTGGTGACTATTGTAAAGAAGAGTTATCCCAGATGGACCTGACTAGATTCCTGAATAGATTGTTTTCTGTAATGACATTCTCCCTCTCAGCATCCAAGTTCCAGAACGTTAAATGACACAGCTCCTGTGCCAGACACAGCAAGAGATTTTGGCTATTAGTTTGTACCTACAATATAGGCCTTTCCAGAATAAAAACATAAAACTGGAAGGTGTTTTTGCCACAAGCTTGTTCTTCAGGATTCTGCTCTGATTTGGTAAACTAATTTGGTCACTTATCTCCTGCAATCAAGTGAATTCCCAACATTAAGAAGCAGTGCAGAGAATGCTGAGCCAGCTCTGCTTTCAGGGACCTCAGAACTTGCTGGACTTCCCAGCTTGGGTTTCACACTATGCAAAGGCAGCAGAATGGCTTCCAGGCTTCAAACAATTATGGAAGAAGTAGCACAGCAAAAAGATTGCTTGCACACTTTAAGGGTGAAAGTTGGAGGAAAGCAAGATTAACCAAAGCTCTTAAATCTATTCTCCTACACATGCTAAATAGCTTTTTTTCTCCCTTACCATGCCTAAAACTCTAATGTTCAGTAAGCTGTGACTATCGGTAATTTCCTGCCACCTGAGGGAAGGTACCACGTAAATTATGCCATTCTATTCATTCCTCGAAAGAAAGAATAAAGACACTGCAGCTATGGTAAAGCAATTTGCTAGCTGCCAGGTTTAAAAGATCCTCAATATATCCTTTGCAGTCTTTCAGAACAGTAAGCACAAGAAGATAATTTTATTTGCTAGACAACTACTTACAAACAGTCAAGAAAACTAATCTTCTTGAGACAGACCTTTGTACACATGCAGATGCAAACATACATATATATGGAATTATTTTGAAGAAAACATTAAATTGGGAAGCTATGACAAAAGAAAAAAAGGCTTTTCCTCTTATCTTGGTTCCTTCTCCTCAAAAAGAAAAACAAAGCAAGAAAACAGAAGAGATTATTAAGTAATAAACTCAGTGTTCTGAAGTAACAATTTCATTGTTTTATTTTAGATAGAAAAGAAATGGTGATTTGTACATCCTGAAAGAAGCCTACTGATCTAGAGAAAGACTGCTAATAGCACAAAGTAGAATGAAGAGCAAGATTTCAACATTGTATTTTTAATATGGTCATTGCTGAATGCAATACAAAAAGGTATATCGTGCAGGCACAGCCTTGTAACACAATATGGGAAGATGTTTTAAATACAGCTGATAACAAGAAATGTGTAAAGGAACATAAGGCCTGGAATGCTAGGAAATGGAAGTTACCACTATTAGAACTGCCAAGCTATATACTGAGGCCTCTCAGAATTTCTCATACAAGGTGAACTGGGAAAGAAGGAGGACTTGTAGTTTATAAGCCACATAAGAGAAAGCTCTGAGTGTTATCAGTAGGTCACAGGATGACTGCGTGCTTCCAAAATGACATCCCTAATAAAGGCCTTCTCAGGATTACCACAAAAAGTATGTCCAGTAAATACAGAGAGGAAATAATGCCACTTTTCAAAGCTTAGAGTACATCTCACCTGCGTTCTCTGAACAATTCTACTTACTCCAGGCCACCACAAACCTACGCTTTTCCTCCTACCTGACAATATGATTTTAAACTAGAGCTTTCTTAATTCTATTTCCAATATTTCCAACCATATTCATGTAGCCTGTACATTATAAAACAACCTTCCAATTCTCTTACTGACTTCTGTGCAATATTAATTGGTAACTCTTAAGAATATACAATATTATCAGGTATTGATTTACAGTACTGCTATATCCTATTTTACTTTATCTGCTCCCTCTTGTGTTCCTTATGCAACTGCATTCACTACATAAAAATAACAGAAGGCTAGATTACAAACTCAAGCCAAATTCGGGGCTGTTTGTCCTAAAATTGTTTAATATGTTTTTTCAGTTGGGCACTGATGCAGTAAAAAAACCCAACAACATTCCAAGCTTTCAGCACCCTCTGCAGGCTAACTGTTTTGATGCAACTAAACTTGTAACAGCAAGTAACCTATGATAATCTCAACAGCACACACTTTAATGATTATGGCATTTTAATAAAATTCAGGTAAACACGTAATTGCAGGCTACAAGGAATTAATTTCACTAACAAAATAGAAAATAAATACCCAGTGATTATGACAGCCTTTTGAAGTGCTTCAAACAAGAATAAGCACCAGAATCACTATTTCTATCCTGACGTGTAAACTAAATTCCTATAAAAGTCAACTCCCATATAATTTTAATGTGATCTGCTCTGTGCGATTCTCATTAAGAAAAGGATTCATGTCATCAGCTAGTCAGAAAACAAACAGAACAGTTAGCTTACCATCCCTGTTGGACAGCAAACACACGAGGCCGTTAAGGCATGTGTCAGTCACTTCGGTGATGTTAGTTGCGCATCTGCCTATAGCCTGAATTGTAGCTGCAGCAAACTGTTTATCTTGGCTTTTCACATAAGTCTAAGGAAACAGGATTTTCATTAGTAAAAACTTAAGTCTTGCCAACCAAAAACTTAGCATATTATTCTCCTAAGACAGACACATTGCATAATAAATACAATCTAGAAAGCTACATTGCACGTTAAAAGTTAAAGTTTTTTCGCTCACTGTCACTTTTAGTAGACATTTTGTTGCCAGCTGCGGTCACCCACAACCATACAAACCTCTGATTTCAAGAAAGCTTGGGCCAGGGGGCAATAATGCAAAACCAGTAATCAGTGTGTGTGCAAGGTTGTAGGAGTTGATGAGCTCTCTCTTCAGTGAGGTTTCAGTTCATTTGACCAGGAGAATCTGTGAAACTGTGAATAACCTATGTGCCTGAGAACCAATACCTCTCAATGAAATCCAGCCAGAGAACAGAAGCAATGAAAACAGATGTCATAAGCAAAGGGGAAAGAAAGGACAGATACCGTTTCACAATATAGGCAAAACATCTTGCTGATAGATATACAGACATTGGAGATAATACTATTTCTTCAAATGACTTGCAGAAAGGAGTTTTGGCAAGAAATGCTAATGGGCAAATATTGCTAGGATTAAGACCATCTACTGACTTACAGTGCCAGTCAAGTTGGTAAAATTTGTTTTAAAGAATTTAGAATGATTGAGCTTTTGTCACTTTTTTTTTTGGTAGCTGGAAGGAAAAGAAGAAACAAAATACTGAAATGCTTTTTCACACATAAACCCTTCTATTATCCACTATGTTATAAGACAGTTTCATTTCCACTCCAAGGACATTTTATCCTGGAAAAGACTTGAAAAATTTAAGAATCTAGATGAAACATCCAATAACGGCAATTGGCCAACAGAGAGCGTTTCATATAAGAAGAATATACTTTCACAAACCTGAAATTCTCGAAGCAGAGTTGATATGTTGGCTTCATTTGCTAAATTTGTCAAGATTTCAAGCTACAATGAGAAAAAAAATATACTTTATCAAAAGCTAAAGTAAAGTATTATAAACAGTACCACACATACACTATACTTTTATTGTATGTAAATAAAAGATAATGCTACTAAAAATACCATCTAGAAGTCAATTGAGTATACCAGATTTCAGCATAAAGTGGTAGCAGCATTGCACTCAGGAGGAATATTCTCCTTGCAAGTACATGCTTGGTTTTCAGATCAGGACTCTAGGGTTCAGCAATGCATTTTCTACAAGCTCTAGCTTTAGTGTTGCACAGCACATCAAATGGGCTTGAGATACTCCTGTCAGCATGGTTTCCAACATTATACAACAAGCCTTAGCATGTAGGAACCATGTGACACTGCAGAGAAGAAATAATGGAAATCACAAATGCAGCTGGGGAGAAATAAAGTGCCCATCATATTCAGATGAAGTGCAATAAAAGACCTTTGAACTCAGGAAAGAAACAGTTCCATCTATGAGACTCCTCAGACCTTAATCAATATCAACAACACCAGACCCTGAAAGGCCACTTTGCTTCTGGTGAACAGGAGGATGATATAAAACACTTGGAATATATTGCTAAGATGCTGTGCTTCCAGGACATTTTAGCTTTGAAGAAGAAAGAATTCCAGTACAAAGATCAGGCCAGACAAGGCTCTGAGTAGCTTGACCTAGTTGGAGATGTCCCTGCTTGTGGCAGGGGGGCTGGACTAGATGACCTTTGGAGGTCCCTTCCAGCCCAGACATTCTAGTATTCTATGAAAATAAAACTCTGTCTCTGTAAAGGGAAGTAATGTCTCGGAAATCTGTTCGTATTTTCTGAGTTGGATGCACATAGACAAGGACACTTAATTCATAAGTCCACCTGTACTTCAGAATTAATTTGGTAAGGCCTGTCTACTAAAGCCTCTTGAGCTTAAAGGCTCTAATAATAGGCTCTTGCTATCTAGCATAGCATACAAACCAACAGGTAACTGAAAGAGAGGAACAGGCAGGGAAAAAGGAGACTATTTTATAGTACACAAAGGCTACCAATGGAATCCTACAAATACCTGTTTGTCTTTTGCTTTTCAACACATCCGTATAATGAACTATGAAAGTAATGTGAAGACAGGTAACAGTTTTCAGCTGACACTACAGTTTTCGGGGAAAGACAAAGGCTGACTAAGAAAAGCTGCATAAACTCCTTGAATATTAGGTGACTGGTTGAAAAAATGGCAAAAAAACCCCAAATAACTACACAGACAAATGTAAAGTAATGTTCCTTACTGGGGGAAAGCCTTAACTTTACAGAAAATGATACACTCTGAGTTGATTACTACTGGTTATAACTGACAATTTGTGGTTAAAGTAGAAAACTCCATGAAAATACAAGCTCAATGCTAGGCAGTGATCAAAAAAGCAAACTTGATGCTGGGAAAGAAATGGTGAGAAAAAAACAAATCTAAACAGTGCAGATTCCAGGGTGCTCCTATATCTTAAACACTGCCATAGGTCTTGTCCTCCTACCTTGTAGCAGACAGGATGAAACTACAGGGCTAAAGGATAGAGAAAAGCATAAGATTTTCTTCTGTTGGATAACACTAAGTCTTAATAGTATTCCAAACAGATTTCATAATCGTTGAATGTGGAGAAAATCTTTTTACCTCCAGCTGTCTCAAATTTACATAGATTTAATGTTGTACTAATAAATACGTGATGGGCTTGGGACAGCTATCTTTGACTGCACCACTCCATGTATGTAATGAGGGTGCAACATGGATGTACATTAAAATAAGGACAGAATAATGTTTCTTTAAGAAACCTATACCTTCCACTGCTAAACACAAGGTGCCTATGACAGTCTAAATCAAAACAACAGAAAAGGCACATAACAGTAGACAATTTTTAAGCTATTGTTTTGTCGAGGATTTCACATCTGTTAAAGACTAAGAATAGAAAAAACAAGAAGACGACAGCCTAAAACATGCTTTGAGATGTGGCCTTGAGGACAGCCTAAAGTAATTCTTACGCTGAATGTCGACTTCAAAGGGAATTTGAGACTCTAACACTACCATATTTTGTTCAGGGAAACAGATTTAAACTCTCTTGAGTTTATCGAAGACTGTGTTGTTTCATTTCTCTTCATTTGAGAAGATTCTTCCTCACACGAAAACACTCAAATTCTAGAAGTTTGAATAGCTGGTTACAGAAAAATAATCATAGAATCATAGGTTTGTCAGGGTTCGAAGGGACCTGAAAGATCATCTAGTTCCAACCCCCTGCCACAGGCAGGGACATCTCCCACTAGATCACGTTGCTCAGAGCTCCAACCAGCCTGGCCTTAAAAGCTTCCAGGGATGAGGCCTCCACCACTCCCTGGGCAAGCTGTTCCAGTGTCTCACCACCCTCATGGTGAAGAACTTCTTCCAAACATCTAATCTGTATCTACCTACTTCTAGTTTTGCTCACAGCCCATCTCTCACCTACAACATGGTAATAAGAGAACTTTCAGACAGCCTGACAAACCTGAAGGACACTTGTGGACTTAATTAAAAGCCACAACTCTACACTTGTTAGTGAAAAAAAGGAATAGCACAAAATGATGTGTCATATCAGTGCAAGAAAATTTTACCTTCCTGTTGTAAACAACTTGTACACCTGTATATAGACAAATTCAATTTTAAACTCACCTTCAGTGTTTTGATCATTGTTGGATCAGTTGATCTAACATAGAAACTCTTCAGGTAAGGTTCAAACATACCCTGAAAGGCAGAAGATATTAAAGCATCTCACCTGTGTTTCATATAAAACATGATTTAGAAAATTGTAAATAGGGTATACCTTTCTCTGAATTGACATAGTGGCAATATTTTGCAGAACAATGTACTGCACCTCCCTAGAATTTGAAAAGAAAAGCAAGAGTTACTCTGCAAAATTACAGACACACAGAAAACACACAACATGGCATAGAAAGTCCAATTCTATTTGAACCCCAAGTTAGTTATACATTTGATGAGGCACAAACATAGAATGAAAAATCTTATTTCCCAGTGCTAGAAGTTCATCATCTGATCCACAGGAAGATGAACACGGAAACCAGGCTTTAATTTTTAAAAACTTCCAAATGGAAAAAATTATGGCAACAGTGCACTGATTCTGTTCTGTTTTGGGTTTTTGTTTAAAACATCACAATTTTGGTATCCCCAGAAATACCTCACAAAAACCTTACATTTTATCCACCATCTGTAAACTTAAATATTTCACAGTGATGCAGCTGAGAACAATAACACATGGGCTTCATCTGTAGTGTGGAAATGACTGCCTTAGTTACAAGTACAACTAATCCCTGCAAAACTAGCAAAGATCTTTATGACTTTTTGTCTTTAACAAATTTCCTAATAAATTTCAAAAACAGACAGGGTCTCCTGCAACTTAAAGAGTATACACTGGCAGGCATATGCATCTATCAAAAAAGCACCACTTCAACCTAACAGTCAAGATACAAACAGAATTATATAACAGTCTAAACACAAAAACATTAAACATATTTGCAGGATATTCTCATCATTATTGTATTAGTTTAAAAGCCTCAGCAGCAGTGAGCAAAAGGAAATCTGGGTACTAGTCTAAACCTTTTAAACTACAGAATTTCTGCCACCAATTGCTTAAAAACTAACTAACAATCATACATGCAATTTTTCTGAACCAAGAGTGCTTAAGTTCTTTCATGATGCAAATCATATCCTAATAGAGAAATCACCACATCCATTATGTCCTCTTATTCAAAACTGTCTAATAGCCCTGTGGTAATTACAGCTGTTGCTTACCAAAAAAAGTAATAATAGAGAGGTACTTAATACCTTTTAAACCTATTTTTATGTTATTCTTACATAGGGACATAGAAATAGTCAGCTACAGATGATGAACCAAGTCTGGAAATTGCTATGAAATGCTCTTCCAGCCACTCTCACCCTAACAAGATTATAGCATATTTGACATTAATTTAAAGGCCACAGGCACATAACTTCAAGGGCAAACAGCAAAAGCTGATTTTGAAGTGGCTGTGATAGCAAAAGTGTTTCATACAGACTGGTAACAGAGAACACAGAAGCCATTCAGCATAGGAAAATAAGAAGACCAGCACCACTTTAGGCACTAGTTGAGGTACAGGAAATATATGACTTCTCTTTATACAAAATTTGCGTGTAACTGAGCAATAAATGACATCCAAAAACAACCCTTTAAATCTGTGAGTGTGAGTCTAGTTCTATATGCTACCCATACATATGTCAAACTGCTTTAGCCATTTTAATAAAGAGAATGGGCTGCATACTATAATATAAAACCAAACAAAAACCAAAACATAAACCCAAAAATAACAATGATTGATTTTTATCCGAAATAAAAGCATAAATACTCTACCGAGCCATTTTTTTTTTCCTTTACTAACTTCTAAATGCTAGAGACATTGGCTATGGCTAAGCTGCACAAATTAACAGAGAAAGAGCTTTGTGGTGACTGGTCTTACAAAAGCTAAAGCCCATCTAAGATGAGTAATTTTGTCAGACACAAGAAAACATTTTTTTAAAAAGCTTTTTGCCTGTTTCATGTGACCACCTTTAAAAAAGAAAGCATCTTCACAGTGAAATTCTAGCCCAAGACTATGTTTTGTTAGAAAGTTATTCTGAAAACATCTCAATTGTGTCTTCTATCACAACTTCAGGGCTTTTCATAGATACACAGAAGCTCAAAATCTAAAAATTTAGATGAAAATAAAAACACTTTTATTCAGCAAATGTTGCCATAGTATGTCAAAACTATGAAACACAAAGGAAGAGTATTATCAATCTTACGAACCATGGGGCCAATGAGACCCTTCAGAGCAAAGTAGACAAGGTCACACTGAAGGTGATAAAGTCAAAATTACATGTTCTGAATTATGTATAAACTTGTTCTTTAAAAAAAATGTTCAAGGATTAAGGGAACATAAGGGATTCAAGCAGCGTCAACTGCTATTTTAAGAAATGTTTCTTAATTCCTCTGTCAAGAAAACGCCTTCAATATAGAGTGCAGAAAAGGGAAATACACACATGAAGACTACTTTAGTGCCTACCAAGACAGTAAGAAACACCAAAACAATTAAATTTCCATTAACTTCCTTTAATAATAATTTAAAAAAAAAATCAAGTAAGTAAGCAAACTGCTTAGTACTGCCTCTATCTGTATGCTACCTAGACAGCCATTATACTTCTCAGAATGAAAGTCATAATTCAGAAATAAACACTTACAATACTGAAGGATCAATGGATGCAATACTGAAAATGGTGGAATTATTTTAATGAGCCTCATTTGTTTAGTAAAAATTAATATTACAGGACAATTTTAAAATGAAAATCTAACAGTGCAATAGTTATATCATTATCACTATGGCTAAACAGGTATGTACAAAAAACTCTCACAATAATGGTAGATATAGCAATGTAAAGTACAGACTTGACCTACCTATTACTACGGAGTAAACGCACTAATGACTTAGAAACAATGCCAGCTTCAGATTTGGGTGCCAAATGCCAGTAAAGCTGGGCAACTGCCATTACCACCTAGAAAAATAACAGTCAGAACAGCATGTTAACTGCAAATCATCATACGTAACGTTTGCTTCAGACCTGCAAAACGACCAGCTCACTCCTCTTCAGAAAGCAAAGTGCATAGTCAAGTTCCTCAAAATCAATAAAACAGATGGGGGGGAAAACATGCAAAGACATTTTTATTCAAAAATCAAAGTTAATTAATTATCTTTAATTCCTCTCAGTATTCACTGCATACTATAATATGCAGAAAGACAGAGGAAGAAAGACAAAAAGAGAAAAAACATAGGTTACTGAAACTACAAACATACTGGTATCATGGTTAATAAGTCAGTATTGCTAACATCAGCTGTACAAATTAATGAGGAAATACAATTTAAAAATTCTGCAAAATTTGTGCTTTTATTTTTATTAAATACAGGTTCAGTATTTCCTATTATTTAATTTCCACTTAAAGTTTTTCATTCCATTAACGCTGTTATGCAATTTACAAAAGGGCAGCTGCTTTACTGGCAACTTCTGAAGTCTCAAATCCAGAAGAAAGTAAAAACTTCAGTTGTTTGGCTAGTATAAAGCAGAAGACTGTTATAAGCAACTTAAAAACTCATACTCCCCCCCCAAGTTTTCTCATAGATAAATGACAGATGTTGAACTTCATGCTAATGAGTAAGGCATGTCTCAGACCTCCCTACAATCCCGTCATGGTCAACATTCTGTTCAAAACAAAACAAAAGCAGAAAGGAGACTCCAAGTAAAGCCATCATTATGACACTTGACTTCCAATCTTAATCTTAGCACTAATGAAACAAATATTATTAAATGATGAAAAATAACTACAAACATCTGAAAAGAGGAAATAACTAGAAGATTTTTACAATTAATACAGGGTTCTCATACTACTGACAAAAATCTAAAGTCAAAGAGAAAGTAGTTAATTGCTGCTAAATTCTTTGAATGGTACAAAGTTGGTGTAAAAGCAATTCAAATTTCACTTGACAAACTGCACTTCAGCATCTCAGTTAAGTTTAATATCAAAAAGTTATAAGATCGTAAATAGGGTACTGATTCTCACATTTAACAGCTCTAAAGAAAATAATTTATGGAATGTGGACAAATAAGCAACTGAACCTGTTCTCAGCGTGGTGTGATGGCAAAGATAGCTAACACACTTGTTCTTTGCACATGATGAGGAAATATTGTACAGACATTTAACAGATTCCAGCAAAAAGTTGTGCAGAATTATTGTAGAACTGTACTCAATTTATTTACAAAGTTTGGTGGCAGGTTATAAGTGGCTTTGAAAAGAATTAGACATCATTGGAATCTAGAAATATGTTCCAGGACAGAAACAAAACCTGATCTGTTTAGCTTATCAAAATAGGTTTGGAGGTGACGTAATCATGGTGCAGTAATTGTTTTTGTAATTATATGAATATTCTATATCAATGGAATTCTTTTCCTGAAGAAATCTTGTCCTTATTAACAGGACAAACCAAGGTTAGAAATCAAAGTTCTGTGATCTGAATAATGTCACAATGATTAACCTTCAGCATGGCTTTTTCTGCTTTTACCTGCAACTTAGATCTCATGGAAATATTGAAGAACATAGTATACTCATTACATTCTATCTATCCTGGAACTTTGCCAAGGCACCAGCACTAACATTCTGGCTTAGACTGGGAAATACTTTAACCATACTATTGGCTGCTTTTAAAATGTGAGACTCAAAGGAAATAACAACTTAATGAATCAATAACAACTATGATTTTCAAATTGACAGTCTGTGCCATTCTAGTTACTGAGAACTTAAACATTAAAACCTAGCTATGGTAAAGTCATCACATGCTATAGAATGTGGCTTCAAGTGTTCTCATATTTTCTCTAATATTTTGTTTGTCCTTAATATTTGGAGCATATATGACATTCAGTTCAGATCTTTTGCTTAGAACATAAGATTATTTCAGAAAAGAATCACCACACTTCTGTAAGTTACTAGAGAATATTATGACCACTTAAGAAGTATAATTTTACTTTTCAATCTTTTAAATTTTCTAGAAGCATAGATATTCAGTAACTCAACATTTTAGTAAAAAATAAATTTGTCATACAGCAGCATTTCGGCTCTGAAGCAAGGGCTTTGTATTTCGTAACAGGAGCCTGTGATCTGGGTCCATAGTATAGGTGTTTTTCACTTTCTGATCCTTCTCTTTTTGTTCTTCATCAGATTCATAGAAATTATTTTCATTGTATTCTTCCACCACCTCATCATCCTGTCAAAAGACAAATTGACAAAAGCACACACAGAATACGTCAATCAACCGGTTTTGTTCACCAAGGAAGTCACATGCAATACCACAGTTCCATGGAAGGTTTATACACTTTTTTAAAATTGGCTCTTCTACCCTAGTTTGCTCAAAGCAGTAAATGCACCAACATGAAAAACAGCTTAACAATAGATGCAAAATTTCCTTAGAAATAAGATGAGCTGCTCAATGAAGTATCTTTATTAACACTCTATAAACTAGATTAGGTATGAATATTGGAATTTTTTGGACTTAAAGTCTATGGTCTGAAATTTACATTTCTGAAAACAGTCACTTACTTAAAGTTCCCTCTTCAAAAACTTCACGCAAATCATGTGCATCTTCCCTCTCTAGCAATATATAAATTATCTGTGAAAAACAGCGAACCTCAAAAGAAAGGACTGCTTTTCATTGTGTGGGTTTTTTAGGTTGGTTGGTTTGGTTTTGGTTGTTTTTGGTTTTTTTTTAAAGAAGTTAGATGGAACAAATGTAATGTAGTGTACCCTGAGCCTGGTCTTCTCTGATGAAACAAAAATCCTTGAGCTGTTTTAAATAAAGTTATGAATTATCACCATAGTGTCATTTAAAAAAACAGCATAACACACAGAAGCAATTACAGCCTGAGGTAATATTAAATTAGACCTCTCTTATTCCATAAGGCTAAATAAAAGAATATAAAGCAATATATCTGATCATGTAAACATAGTAAATTAAAACAAATCTTAAGATTTCTGATGTGGATCAAAAAATGGATAAAGAATAGAACTGACACGTTCCATTATGCTTATATTTAATTAGTATTTAAAAGTTTACAAACTGAAAAGGAAAATAAGAGGGAAAACATCAGGATTAGATCAAAACAGAACATCATGCCCCAGAAGCTGCAGTCTGGACTGTTAATACTGAAAATACTCAACATTACAAAACTTAAAAAAAAAAAAATTAAAAAAAACTCCTGACTTCTGCAACTAGTTATATCAAAGTGCATGCCCTTGCTTTCCTAAATTCTTCCATCTCATTTTGTCACCAAAACACCCAACTAAACAAAAAAGCATTACTGTGCCTAGCTGGAACCAAATACCATCCACACCAGTATCTCTGCTTGTCTTCCTCTGAAGTCTCTGTCAACTACTTTAAGCAACACTCAACTCTACACAATGGTTTAAAAAGGACTACTTAAATCTTATGCAAAATTCCTGATATTTTAAGAGACATAATTACTTTTGAGACAAATTTATCTTTTTAATTCTAACTGTCAGTAGCAAAGCCATCAAAAGTGAATGGAAGAATAGCTAGGGATGAAAATAAAGACTTATTTAATAGGCCGTCAGAAAACTAGGCAAGGGTAACTTCAAACCTTTGTTGCACACCTTGGTCAAATGTCATGTCTGGTAAAAGAACCCACAGAAGTATCTTCAGTCGAGGCAGGGCAATGGGGGAGGGAAGGAAGAAGGGACAATAAATCAAAGTTGTTGCTTTATTCTGGTTTTTATTACAGCTTGAAAGGACACTGAAAACAAAACATTGCCTCACATTTCTTCTCATTTTTATTACTTGATGCCAACAGCGCTCTCAGTGTTTTACAGAATCCCTGGCAAGCTCTTAAATTTCTTATGCAAGAACCACTAAAGTGATTTAGTTTGTTTACTTCTCTTTCTATGTATCTTTCTGGTAGTCACCCTTCTAATAGAAAAACTCAAAATAAATCAAGAGTACTGGTACCCAAATTCCTCTGTTTGTCTATAGGAAAAGAAACTTAAAGCACAATTCCTGATCCCAGTGCATCTCAACTCTGGACAGAAGAAGCATTCTTTAGCAGATGGATGGTAATTCAGCCTTCATTGATTCCATCTTCAGTATCCCTGCCTTGACTGCTAAAAGGCATGCACATCAGTACTATTGAACTCAATGGGAATACAGAGTTGGAAATTGTATTTAACTCATTAATCACTGTTGAAAAGAAACAGCTTGAGCTCTCACAGTTCTGACTTGTTTTTCTTAAAGAATTGTTGGTTAGAAGCTTATTTGTAGCAGAGCTGCAAATAATCATAAAACAACTTATGCCTCTTATGAAAACAATTTTAACCTAAATCCCATTAGTCTTTATACTGAATCACTGCAATACTTCTGCTGTGAGGGTATGAAGAATGTGGTCTTTTTTCATTTTCATGTATTGTTGCAATCTTAGAATGTTCCTCTTCTCTCAAGCACGTTGAGATCTAGCATGAAATAATAAAGTTCCAGGCAAAGGATGATGACATAGGGAAATAAGTGTAATGAACTGAAATTTTCTAAATCCAAGTTAAGTCCAAATCAGTCAGAATTTGTAGTCACAAGGATCTAAGGCAAAGAGAATATATAATACTGCAAGATTTGCACATTAACATGGAAAGGAAACCAAAGGAAGTAAAAGAGCCAGGAGACTGAAATACAAAACCTGCAGGCTTACTGGTGTGCAAACGTTCTTTTTTCGAAATATACGAATCATCCTAGACATGGAGAACAGTTACCAGGAAATAGGAAAACAGTCCATCACACACAATCCCTTAAGCCTTAACCTGAACTGCTGTCTATATCCACTACCAAAAAGAGACAATTGTATATTTAGAATCATAGAATCATTTAGGTTGGAAAACAACCTCAAGATAAGCGAGTCCAACCATTCACCAAGCACTGCCAAGTCCATCACTAAAACATATCCTTAAACACCATGTCTAGAATTCCTTCAAATACCTCCAGGGATGGTGACTCCACCACTTCCTGGGTAGCCTGCTCTAATGCTTGACACTTCTTTTCAGTGAATAAATTTTTCCTAATGTCTAATCTAAACCTCCCCTGGTGCAACTTAAGGCTGTTTCCTCTTCTCCTATCACTTGACGCCCACCTTGTTATTCCCTCCATGCAGTTTTAGAGAGCAGCAAGGTCTCCCCTCAGCTTCAGTTTCTTCAGACCTAGCTGAATCATTGCTCTGTCCCCAGACAAATTCTGTAGTGCGTAGAGCAAGTATTGACGCTTGTACGAAAGGAGGAGACTGGGAACAATATTACTTTTTCTCTGAAATGGCAGAGATCTAGCTTCAAGGTGGAAACCACAACCAAAGCCTCTTGGTGTTGTAACCAAGGGGGAAAGCCTTTTGCAGAGATCTAAGAAAAAGCCTTGATGCTCAGTAGTAGTGCTAGTGGTGTCCAGGATAACAACAGCAACCAGAACAGCATGCCCCTTACACTAGGTTCTAAATCTTGGACTCCAACTAGGAAAGAAAGTATGAATGGGGTATAATGGAGAAAGCAACACTTAACATTCTCATATTTTTACTGCCAACAGAGGACTGAAAATAAGACTTTTGCCTTTGGGCAATGAAGTCTTCTTGTTTTAATTGTTAATGTTGAATGAACAACTGCAAGCTTCCACAGAAAACTGTCTGCAAACATATATTCCAAACCTCACTACCTATACTGAACCCACACTAACCTGTGGGAAATGCCTTGAATAAATGCCAGCTATTGGTGGTACTCAAATTTTACTCTCCCAGATTTCTAATTAGTGCTCAAATTGATGATAAGTTGTATAAAAAAACAGCTCAATTAGGGAAAAGAGAAAAAAAAAAAAAAAAAAAAACAAAAAAAACCAACACACAACAAAAACCACACCCACAGAACAATATTCTGACCTTTTTTGACAGAAGAGAGACAGACAAGAGTTCAGGGAGTAGATTAAAATGTTCCTATGCTTTGTCTTGTTCTTTCAATCACCTTAGATGTTGTTTCATATTTGGTCATACCACTTCATACTTGTTAGCTTGTTTAGTTTTTAAAAGCATGTTTTATTTTCACCAGAATCAGTAAAGTGATCTGGCTCAATTTGTAGCCATAGGATCACTGAAACTAGTTAATCTTCAAAAACAGTAGGTGGTAAAATGAGAAGGACAGAACAGAAGCCTTCCCTTTCAGTAGCAGTCTTTAGTTAAACTGCATGAGGTACATTTAACAGTTTGTAGCAGTACATGATTTAGCTGTGCTATTAGTAGCTTTTCTAAATTGTGAAATAACTAAAAAGTTCGGGACCCTGCGAGAATGAAGTGATTAAAAACTGAGAGACACCACAAGTGTTCCAGTCTAGGAATTGCAAATGGCCTGAGTGCATTCCCCATCTTCTGTGATGTATTCAATCCAGCAGCCAAGTAAGTATTTCAGTGTGAAAGAATTTCCATAATTCTTTTTTTACGTTCTTCCAGACATACAGTTTAGGGACATCTTCATAAAGCATTAACAGCTTAAATGAAGAAACTGCTGGATAACAAGTTCCATTAGCCTGTTTTTAAAGTCACTAAGTAAATGAGCTAACATTTAACTGAGATCTTGCTTGAAATCACGTTTAATTGCATATGGCATTAAAGTTGAGAATATGGCTTTCATTCAGGGTAAAGCACATCATTGTGAATGCTACAATTACCCCCAAACAAAGCTCCACACATGCACTAACTCAGAGTTAAAGTAAAACTTCACTGAAATCTGAAGCATGAACACATTTTATTTATCCCATTACCAATCTTAACTCCATCTTCTACTCAAAAGTAATTCAAATATTTGTATTCCTAGGTTAAGTAGGCATAACTGACTTTAAAGCTACAAAACTTTAGTTTCTCTCCTCAGATTCATAAGGAAATACATTCACAGGTTTTTTTTGACTCAGAATCTGTGGCAGACAAGATTTTAGTTATCTTCTGTAGCCCTTTCTAATATATCTAAGAACTGCTGGCCGGAGAGTTTTGGATAAGCCAAGTTTTGAAGGTAAGAGTTTTGGGACTATTCACTAGCTGGTGTATCAGACTGCAAAACCAAAACCATTTTTGCCAACTAGGATCAGCAGCCTTCTTGCTGTATCTTGAACAGCATCCTTGGAAAAGGGAAATGGAAAATTTTGCCAATTAAAAAATTGATGTATCCAAGGCAGATTTGAAATATTGA